AGGGTCCGTTGGACCCCCCTTGCCGTTTCGCCCCTGATCGAGCTAGAGCTTCGCGGAAAAAACGAGCGTGTTGGCCGTGACGAGAGGAAGTCGATGATACCCAATTTTAAGGTCCCAGGTCATCGGTTGACTTTCCAGGTCAGGTCAATGACCCAAAAGTCGGGGAAATCGGGACCTGTTAGAAAGTCGTAAAGCGTGGCTGCTATGGAGTTTTCGGGGTGCTGATCACGAATATCATGTTAGTTTTGATCACAGATAATGTCTTCATGCATTTAGGCCAGGTCGGGTCAGGTCAGGTCAGGTCAACCAGTAAGGGTATTCGTAGTAGGTGGCAACCGCCTCTGACAGCTTCGCAACATGTTACGAGGGCACCAAAACTACTTCGTAAATGTTCATATGGCTGCTAAATTCGAATTCAGCTCCTAAAACTGGCCTAGAAACATGTAAAACTCGAAGAAGTGAACCGAGGTCATCAAAGGTAAGTGACCTGACCTGACTTTCCGGTGACCTTGACACCCACCCTAATGCATGGAAGCAAGATCATATCCCATGTTTGAACGCTTAAAACCACGAAAAGACTGCAAACGCGCCGCTAATGCGAGCCGACATACGCCGAATCGCGATTCCGGCCAAACATGGTCTCGAAAAGTAGGTCGCAGGTCAAAGGTCATTTGGGTCAGGGTCATGACAATTTCAGGGTGGGTGTAAAATTGATTAACGCGAGGGTACTGAAAGTTTCGTCGCGATTGGCCGCTTTTTACGCGAGTTATTCGCGAAAAACCGAGGGAGGGGGTTCCGTTCGGCCCCCCCCCCCCACTCTATACGGGCGAGGGTTAAGTTGATCTCACCCGAAGAAAAAGTATACCATTCGACACGCCTGAGCTAGACAAACACGATACTGCTAAAATCGCGGATCTGCGATCATTTTTAGCGAAGTTATTTACCAAAAACCGAACCTGTGCCTTGGGCCACTTGACCTGACCTCCGAAGTCATCGGCTGACCCTGGTCCTTAAATCGGAGACCAATCGCTGCATTTCGTAACGACGCACACGATCGTTTCTTTCGTGAGGCTCTAGCTCAATTAGGGGCGAATCGGCGAAGGGGGTTGTTTCCTCGCTTCCAACCCCCAACGTCCCCTCGGTATTCAGAAAACCTGAAGGTCCGGTGAGGGTTAAAACGTTTCTCCTGAACGAGGAAGAAATGTAGAAGTCAAAGCTCTATAGACGTCCTGTAAAAGTGGCCATAATAATAAATTCGTTAGAAATAAGATGCTTTTTAAACGACTTCCTCATATAAAATCGGGTGCTGGGACCAATCTTATAAACACTTTAGAATGGACAGGGTGTCACTGGCTAAAGTTTGGGTGCAGAATACGGCTGTTACCTAAATGCAAAATGGTTTTCATGCATTTCAGTCAATTGTATATTGTCGGTCCCAGTGGCCGAGCTAAAAAAATCGGTAGTGTTTTGCATCTTTTACGCCCTAAGAAACTACACCATCTATCGAAGTGGGCGGGCTTATTTGAATGGGAGGGCGCATTATGCACGAATCGTGTGCTTTCGTTTATTTTGGACTGTATTTTACCATATCCACTGTTGGTATCACTATTAATATTATCTAATGCCGTGAATACGACAGCATTCCATTTATAAGATTGGGCCAATGGAGTCGCGCCCCGCGAGCTCGGTTTTCCGCTGGGCCGCTACAGACCAGGAAGTCGGTCTTCGCCTGAGGGCAGGACAAAGGTCAGCGAGGGAGCGTGGGGTCAGCCAGGTATCGCCAAGTGCCGAGCGAAAGCCGCTCCCTCCCCTCTCTTCCCCTCTTCTCCCCTCCCCACCTCGGTATAGATGGGGAGGGACCGAACTGCCAATGACATGCGAGCGGTCAAGGCCGCTCGCGCGGCAGCGACCCTGGCGGCCGGGTGCCGCAACTGGGATTCAGCCAAGTTACCGATTCGCCTCCTGTGGGAGAGCCAAACCAGGGGACATACTTTTTAGATATACTGTACGGAGTTATTGGCCAAAAACCTTTGGTGACCTTTGATGACGTCACATGACCTCACAGCTGCCCAACAGCAAAACAGACCTCACGGTAGTGAAGGTTGATCGTATATGAAGTCATGTATGGTATATGGGGCCATTCCGACCCGTTTTAGTGGTAAAAACAGGGAGTTGATTTTTCCCCCATTGACTTATAATGGGGAGGTCGCGAAATTGACCTGACCTTAGGTCACCGATATCAAAATTCCGAGATATACAAATTGTAGCTACTAATGACCTAATAACATCCTGCGACTTTCAAAGGCCTCCGACATCTACTGTAGCTCTGGCACGGTGACAAAGTTGCAAAAAAGTGACTTGAGGTTGGGTCATTCAAAGTGACCTGGTGACCTGACCTTGAAAGGTAGGAGGTTCAAACTTGCACACCATGTGTAAAATTGATGAGGGAATAGTCATACCAAATTTCGCGGCGCTACGCGCCGCGGTTTTCCCGCTATTCGCGAAAAACCTCAGGGGGGGGCGGATATCCGCCCCCCCGTCGGTGAGCGGGTTAAGTCACAGATAGGTACGAGACGTATAAGAAAAATATGAGATATAGATTTAATATATTCTGTTATTCTTATCAATCGCTGAAAGTTTCAAAGTATTCGTTTAGTCGGTGTAGCTGTAGCGAGACTTTGAAACTTTTCTGAGGTTAGGTCACTTGACGTGACCTGTGACCTGACCTTGAAAGATCCGGGTCTGAAATTTACACAACATGTGTGGAAAAGATGCATAAACAGGTGTATCAAAAACGTGCGCGCGGCCGTCTTTGAGATATTCCCGAAAAACCTGAGGGGAGGGGGGCGCAAAAACGCCCTCCCCCCAGCACGGCGCGGGATAATGTGAGCCGACATACTTCGAATCGCGATCCGGCCAAACATAGTCTCGAGAAATAGGTCACAGGTCAAAGGTCATTCGTGTCAGGGTCGTAAAACTTTCAGGGTATATGTAAAATTGATTAACTTGAGGGTATGGAAAGCTTCGTCGTGAGCGACCACTTTTTGCGCGAGTTACTCGCGAAAAAAAACTGAGGTGGTCCATTCAACCCCGGCCCCCCTTATAGGTGAAAGGGTTAAACTACACTGGCATATTGCTATCACATATTTTGTTATCACGTTCCTGGACACTGCGGGAGCACTTGCCCACCAAGACCCAGTGAGCATTTTACCTATCGGAAAATGAAATCAAGTTAAACAAGGGATATGATCATACGTGAATGATACCTTTATGAACAGTCTTTGTGAGGAGATATGTTGCACAAGCCCGTATAATACGAGTGATACAGCCCAAAACTATCGACGTTTATTACGGAGCGAGCGAAGCGAGCGTAGTCTTTCCTTAGATTAACGGAAATTTCTGAGTATGAGCGGCCGGCCGGCCGGCCGGCCGGCCGGCCGTGGTCACGCTTTTGCGAGGCTTATATCTCAGCAACCACTTGACCGATTTACATGCGGTAATTTTTGTAGGGTAGCTTCATTCCTTCTACCAAGTATTGCACTATTCCCGATGCATGTGGGTGACCCCTTATGCACGTGCCACGTGCAAAACGAAGAGGTGTCACTTTTGCAATTGTTGCAATATCTCGGTAACTACTGGGCCGATTGCGCTGAGAGTTGGCATGTAGGTAGGCACCCACTAGGCAATGCATATCCATGTGCCAGAGTTGGGGTGCTGCTGCACGTGCGCACGTGCAGGGGTCGTTTCCAGATCTCGAGAACGGCTGGACCGATTGCGCTCAAATTTGGTACACGGTTACGGAGCAGTTAGTAGGGTGCCGTGCACAAGTCAGTTGGGACCCATTTTGCACGTGCGCACGTGCAGGGTGCCGCTTCCAGATCTCGAGAACGGCTGGGCCGATTGTGCTCAAATTTGGCACATCGCTAGAGACCGGTTAGTAGGGTGCCGTGCACAAGTCAGTTGGAGGTACCCCTCGAAATTTCGCACGTGCAAGGCTCACCCTCTCGCTCGCTCCGTTAGTCGCCCCAAAAGGCGTTATACTGGTATTATTCATTTTCAGGTATTTGTAAGATACACGGTTCAGTTATCTACGAGTGGTTGTTAATGAAAATTAGTATGTGTTACGTCTTTGTAGATCTTGCAGGTGCTAGGCACCAGGCATAAATATTCTCGCCGCTACCATTTTCATCCTTTCTTCAGATATGTGTCAGGCAGAGTTTATTACGGAGCGAGCGAAGCGAGCGTAGTCTTTCCTTAGATTAACGGAAATTTCTGAGTATGAGCGGCCGGCCGGCCGGCCGGCCGTGCGGACGCTTTTGCGAGGCTTATATCTCAGCAACCACTTGACCGATTTACACGGGGTAATTTTTGTAGGGTAGCTTCATTCCTTCTACCAAGTATTGGACTATTCCCGATGCATGTGGGTGACCCCTTATGCACGTGCCACGTGCAAAACAAAGAGGTGTCAGTTTTGTAATTGTTGCAATATCTCGGTAACTACTTGGCCGATTGCGCTGAAAGTTGGCATGTAGGTAGGCACCCACTAGGCACTGCATATCCATGTGCCAGAGTTGGGGTGCTGCTGCACGTGCGCACGTGCAGGGGTCGTTTCCAGATCTCGAGAACGGCTGGACCGATGGCGCTCAAATTTGGTACACGGTTAGGGACCAGTTAGTAGGGTGCCGTGCACAAGTCAATTGGAACCCATTTTGCACGTGCGCACGTGCAGTGTGCCGCTTCCAGATCTCGAGAACGGCTGGGCCGATTGTGCTCAAATTTGGCACATCGCTAGAGACCGGTTAGTAGGGTGCCGTGCACAAGTCAGTTGGAGGTACCCCCTCGAAATTTCGCACGTGCAAGGCTCACCCTCTCGCTCGCTCCGTTAGTCGCCCCAAAAGGCGTTATACTGGTTCTATACCACGAAACTCTCTTTTTCTTCAGTGGTAGTAAGACCAACCTGTTGCAAAATAGGTATCCCTACAATACACAAAACGCACAACCTCAAGCAAAGTAGGTACACATTTATTGAAATAATTATATTGTTTCTGCGTAAGAAATGACGACTGCCGTCCGCGCTCGCCGCCCGCCAGTTCGGTTGTCACGTCTCGGTGACTAGTCACGGGACGTCAGTTTGGCTCGGTCCGAGAGTGCCGTCTGTCTTTTGTCAGTCAGCGGCTGTAGCTGCTGGCGAACACTGCAGCTCTGCTCCGGCACAATTGGGCACCGTTCAGTTAGTTAGTGAGGCCAGGCCTCGCAAGCGCCGTAGTATCCCATATACATACATACGCACACACACAGACCAGGTCACACTGGGTCGCTTTCTCACATCGCACAGTATCTAACATCTCACAGTGTCTATCTCACAGGCTCTCCATATATCACAGTCCGGGACCAGGCGATGCGGCGACTGGTTAAACGCCTGACCGGTTAGTATCGACAAACTCTGATCCATTACGTGCCCACGTGACACACCTATCTCTCTCGAGTTATTAGTTGGTCCCCGCTGGGCCGCTCTGTGGGCTCTGCTGACCGAGATCGGACTTGGGGTTCGAGTCCGCGGTCATATGCAGCCCTCGGCGGATATCTCCTCCATCAACGGCAGGTCAGCGGCTCCCAGAAGCCAGGAGAGCGAGTGATTCCGCGTGTCTCCAGCAACGGCCTACGACGGTGCAGCCACAGCGTACTCCGTCCTTCGCTGAAAATGAAATACCGTAAATAGCGGTGACCTTGCACCGTCACTTCGAACACATCGGCTGGAGTGATTCGACAGCACTCACTACTTATACGAACGGACGAGCGGCATTGGCAGGGCTGGTGGGGACAGCTAGGGAAAAGGGGATGGTCACCCTGTGCTTGAAGCGGCACTTAGACTAATTGCTCCTTACTACCGATAGCACGTCGGCCAAAGTGATGACCGTGGCTCAGCGCCGGGTCCCCGATGGGGCCTGCTGTTGGACCATGCTGGTGGATGCTAATTGATACGCGGGGCAATCACATTTTCGAACACTGCGACGGACCAGGATAACGATGGCTGGACCTTTGTCACACGCTGACGCCTTGATTTAGGTAACATGTATACCGGCCTCGTGAGCTGCAAGTAAAGCAAATACAAGGAAGTAGTGCTATGCAAATGTTATCAGTTATAACTACATTGCCTTTCTGTTACAAAGCACACTGGTGTGGCAAGTGCATTGCTGAAACAGTTCGCGTTTCCATGTGCGTGATTCGTATGGGTTCTAACGTTTGTCGCTAATACAGTTAAAAGGCAATTAACAAGGCGACAAAATCGCTTCAACCCAGATAGTGCGACTGTCCCTGGCCTGGTGGATTAATTAACACTACGCCGCCTCCTAGCTCACAGATCCCCATGCGGACACATACGCCGTGATATATTTCGGGTCGATAAGGAGGTTTATATTGTTCGCTGATGACAGGATAAAAGCAAAAGATCGATTTCTGTGACGCTATGCACCTTGAACAACCTATTTACTAACTAGTTGCTCACCTTACAAGGAGCCGTTGGTGGCGTCCCTACACCTTAACCGACTTCTCCACGTGCTGAGCTCGGTGGGTCCGCACCTTTTGGCCGTGAACAAAATGTCTGTCTTTCGTTGGCTTAAGTCCGGCCCCTGAAGAGCAGACAGACACAAAATATTGGTAATCGTTAAACAATGATTTAGCGGGAAAGCCGACTGTTGAAGATATACGAGCTGGTTATCTGGTTAACCCGCGCCCGGCTGGGGGTCCTGGATTTCCACGCCCTGCTGGGGGGGGTGTTTGAACACCCCCCCCCCCTTCTAACTCGGCTCCTGGGCCACGTAGCGATACGCGGAAGGCGGCGTTCGAAAGAGCGTCAAAAATAATGACGAAATCACTTCGGTCAATTTTTTGGTCAGGTCAAAGGTCAGGTCACCAGAGGTCATTGAAGGCAAAATTTCGCCGATTTCCAGGTCGAATGTCGACAATTTCCAAGAAGCCAACGCATAACTCGGGAACCAATAGAGCTACAGCGCCGCGGAAAAGCGCATTCGATAGCCCTATTAACGCCCTTTCTGAGTAATTTTCTCAGGTTTGACCTAACTTCAACGGATTTGCCTGCAGGGGGCAAAAACTGCAAAAATAGCCGATTTTTTCGGAAACAGTTTTTCTGCAATAACTTTTGACCCAAGCCTTGTACGAGCTTACTTTTACCGGCATCGTGTTCCTCTCGTCAAGACGCATCGAATGAACTATAACTTGACCTTGAAAGGTCAACTTGAAAATTTGACCTCAGGTCAAGGTCATGACCTGACCGGAAAGGGTCATGTTGCATATCAGTCGATCCGTATCGTCGAGCTGAACACATCTAAGGCGTTTTCATCGCTCTAGCATGCCTCTATCAAAAGTTATTTGCGAAAAACTGTTGGATTCCATTCGTGACCTTAGATGACCTCAGGGCATGAACAGGGGTCGCGGACACCATTTTCATGTTCAGTGTGTCTAAACCACTTGTATTTCAGTGTTTGGGAGTGTTTATAATGTCTTTCGTCCAAAAGAGGCGCATTTCAATTTTCTCCCATTGACTTATAATGGGGAGGTCGCAAAATTGACCTGACCTTAGGTCATCGATATCAAAATTCTGAGATATACATTTTGTACATGCTATTGCTCTTAGTAATCGCTGAAAGTTTCAAAGCGATCGGTCACTCGGTGTAGCTATGACAGACATTGAAACTTTTTATGAGGTGAGGTCACTTCAAGTGACCTGGTGACCTGACCTTGAATGACCTTGGTCTGAAATTTTCACAACATGTGTAGAATTGATGTATGATAAGGTGTACCAAAAACGGCGGCGCTCCGCGCCGCCGTTTTTGAGATATTCGCGAAAAACCACAAGGGGGGGTGTTCAAACACCCCCCCCCCCAGCAGGGCGCGGGTTAACAGCGCGTTTGAGAAACGTGAAGTTTATATACGCCATCAAGTTGGCATAATTTGCTTTAATCGAGAATGCTAAATATAAAAGACTTGAGTGATTGTACTTGACCTTCACTCATAGCACTTTTCATGACCATTTTACTACCTAAAATGAGCGCCTTTTAATCGTCGTATCAATGAACAATTGATGATCAGGCTTCAGCAGTCTGCGTCGCAGACAGCTGAACGAGGTCGTTCAGCTCTCTCGACTCTCACACAAATCAAAATTAATCTGTGGTCCTGAAGAGCCCTTGAAAACACAAATGTTAGCCATATCTTTGATGGATACTCGCTGCTCACAGCTGCTCGATGCTTTTTCTTATCCAAGCGAATCCGAAAAGAATTGCTCGAGCTACGCTATTCCCCTCAAGTTCCTCCCCATCTCGCAGCTGCACGGCTCTCGCCCCGACCACACTCACCCGTGATGACCTCCGTCTTCGTGACGATCCTCTTCACGCCGTCCTTGCCGTCACGGCCACGTCTGGCCCGTTCCGTGACGTTGGTCGTGACGTGAGTACTGGTGCGCTGCTGGCCGGCAGTGCCGCTCGAGGCCAGTGTACGCCGCACCAGCTCCGAAGCGGCCACCCCTGCAGAGGGCAGGGCGGCCCGGCGGTCAAAATGGACAATCGTGTGACCTGGCCCCGCGCACGGTCATAGAGTTTGGCGTGAATGGAAGAGATTCGAGTAGACGGTGGTATGTTACATCGAGAGAAACAAGAAGGGAAGGTAAACAGTGTTGAGCACCTTAGTAGACACACAAATTATTTGTCACAATCAATGGTCAACGTCACGTCGGCGGTGAGCCGTTGATTTATCGAAGTTTAATTCGCTCAATTCAAAAGCGTCCCTAATAAGTAAATAACATTTTATAGCGGTAAAAGCTCAGTAGCTATTTCTTAGTTAGAACCCACAAGAAACGGAGTCTTTAAGCGCTAGATAAAAAAGCAGTTAGGTTTTACGAAACTATGACTAGTTCCCCAGCCCCATCCCGAAGTTAAAAGCGTCAGACGTATATGATTCTAGACTATAGTTGCAAAACAGCCGTAAGGATATCCACCGAAGAGAGCACTGCTCTGCACCGAGTTACCTTACCGGTCGGATCGGCGCTTACCGTTGCGTTTGTCGGTCAACGGGGCGCCACTGATGAGGACTGCCCTGGTCACCACTGCCGGCACCGAGAGAGGCTGGCTCTTCGCCTTCTGACGCACCACCGTGGTGCGAGTGGTGCGCACCTCGGGCCGCCGCTGCTGGGTCGGAGTGCTGCTGCCGCTGCCTGTGCCGGTGGAAGGTGCGCGAGGCCGACCCGACGGGCGGGCTACCTCACCCGGCTGACGGCGCTGTCGTTTAGCCTCCGAGCTGCTGGGACTGGCGGCAGTCACTGCGGTGGGACGAGCTCCCGGGCGACGCGTGTTGGGCGCCGCCGCCCGCTGCCCTCTCGGGGAGGCTTTGGGCGAGGCGGGCACGCCGCCGGAGGTCAGCAGACGCTCCAGGGCCGACTCCACTCGCAGACCGATCGACTCGCCGAGCGAGCGCGGCTGTTCGGCGGGCCGGGAGCGCGGCAGATCCGGCGGCCGGCTGCGCGGCGGGTCCGGGGTGCGGGTGCGGCTGTGTGTCGGTCCCGCCGGCTCGGCACGACCCTCCTGCCGCAGTCGGGTCGGATCCAGCGACCTGGGACGCGAGGTCAGTGACGTGCCCGGCGGCGGGAACGCGCGACGCTCCTGTCGCGGGCGACTCTGCCGCTCCTGACGCTCCTCAGTGCGGCGTGCCAGCTCAGGAGTGCCGTGAGGCGTGCCGCGCCGTCCGGCCCGCTCGGCAGTCCGCTCAGCGGCCGGCCGGCGCGCGGGAGACGGAGAGGTGGGCCGGCGCCGCGATACCGCTGCGCTGCCAGTGCGACCCTGCTCATCGCCCAACGCGGGCTGGTCTGTGGACACGGGAGCGACACTCTGACTCTCTATGAGCAGTGCTGCTAACTGCTGAGGGTCAAAGGAAGCAGTAAAGTTATTTGACACAAGTCTGCCCAGGTACAACACCACATAGACGTTAGGCACCAAGCAACGCTAACATAATGCGCACACATGATGTAGTAAACCATTCCAATCCATCGTATTGACCAGCGCGCAACTATGCGTCCTGAAAGCACGGCAACTTCTTCCAAGCCCAAGCTTAGCAACCGCTATCCACAAACGGCAAAATATCAGTAACGCATGTCAACGCTGACTCTGAGCGCGGCAACTCGAGACAGTCTGGATAGGAGAGTGTCGAGGGCAGGCGCGGATACAAGGGGGGGGGGCCATGGGGGCCATGGCCCCCCCCCTTGGCCGATTTTTTTCAAAAATAAAATAAAAAGTTAAAAAGTTAAAAAGCTGAAAAGGGGGCCTCCTGAAAATAAAGTGGCCGAAATCCGATGAGTTTTTTTTAACCTACCCACTTAGTTATTTCTTAGAAGACTAGCTGAGAAGACTTCTTTGTTAGAAGATTGGTAAAGCTTTTCATAACTTGGAGGTCTCTTATACTCACAGAGATGACCACTTTTACAGGGCCTCCTAACCTGCACAGAGGGCCTCCAAGCCTGCATAGATGTTGAGATGTTGCCTGAACAGCTAGATAAGCTCAATAGACGCAGTTTTTTTTGGGGGGGGGGCCAACAAGTGGGAAGATGGGGCCTCCAACAGGTGGGATTATGGGGGGGGGCCTCCTGGTTTCTAATGGCCCCTCCCTTGGAGATTTTCTGGATCCGCCCCTGGTCGAGGGTCACTCACCAGGAATAGGACTGTAGCTGACACGACGAATGATGATCGGAGCCTTCTGCCCGTCGGATACGCCGTTTGACGTTCCCGTTGAAGACGGCTCACCATGCCCATTCGACAGCTGAAACGGATCAAATCGGGAATCAATCAGCTGGATGAATTATTATGAAATTGGAATATTCGGTTAGCATTCCACGTGCTTGACAAGGTAGTTATGAAATGCATTCACCTCACTGTTCAGTTTAAATTCCGGGTCGCTTTCGGGATAAAATACTTGCAAAACTAAACGTGCAATGGTTATGCAGCTCCACTCTCTATTTTTGCCTTGCGGCGTAGCGTCATCTATGTCTGACCTGCTGTTTCTCCCGCTGGGCGGCGCTGCGGGCAGCGGTGCCCTCTGCTGGGGACGGCGCTCTGTGCCACGAGGTGTGCTCTTCCCGCACCACGCGCGCCCGTCCTGGGACCGACGAGTGGCGCGGTGACTTCTCATGATGCACAGGCACCTCTCGAATGACCACACGATCAGACGTCTCCTGGTGTACCGGAATCTGTCGCGGCGTGGCCTTCTCAGGAACCGGCGGTTGGTGCGAGGACTTCTCATGCTGGACCGGGACCTCTCGTTGAGTCGCCCTCTCGGGAGCAGATGAGTGCTGCGAGGGCTTCTCACGCTCCACGTGGATCTCCCTCACGGCTGGCTGCGTCTCCAGTGAGTGACGCGTCGTCTCTGCACGGTGAGAGTCACTGACGAGGCGCGGCGCTTCAGTCGGCGGCCTCGTCCTCCAATGAAGATCGCTGGTTCGCAGCGGCTCTAGAGGAGTGGCGTGAGGCGGCACAGGCGGCTGTCGGTGGTCCTCTGCGTGGACCTTCGGTGACTGCCTGTGAGTGTCTGCGTGGGGAGGTATTGGAGGCGGCTCCTCGGTCGTAGCCTGCCTCTGAGGCTCGGACGATCGGGAAGGAGGGTGGATCTCTATCTCTTCCTGCAACACCAACACCTTTCTGGAAGCCTTAGGGTGCTCAGAATCTTCCCGGGAGTCTGACAGAGGCGTGGAGGTGACCTGCGCAGACGGACTGTCACGAGAAGTCGCCCAGCTGGCCGTCCGGACGCTCTCCGCTGCCGGGACCTCCCTCTCCGCCCGATGACTCTGCGGGGACCTTCGCACCTCCTCTGAGATCGGCGAACTTCTCCCCGCGTTCAGCCAGGTCGAGGACGGTGGTGAGGTCTCGTGGGAGAGCGGTGAGGTCCCATGGTGGCCGGAGGTCGGTCGGTGCGGCTCCTCAGCGGTCGGAGGGACCTCCCGGGGCTGGTGGCGCCACCTGGGCACCTGCCGGGCGGTCTCCTCCGACCCAGGTGAGACACTGCGCTGGTGGCGCCAGCTGGCGGTGGAAGACGACTCGGCAGGGTCCGGGGAGCGTCGCGCCCGCTGTCGCAGCTCGGCCACTTCACTGAGGATGGCGCTGACGTCCGGCGCCTCCCGGTGTGTCGCAGCTGACGGAGAGGAGAACAGAGAGCGTTAGATGCTGCGGTCACTGCATGGCTGAGTAGGTGTGAGTTGGAGGGGAGGGTGTGGACTCAGGGGAGAAAGCTCAGTCACTAGCCTGATCAGTTATGAAGTTATGCTATTTTACAACGCAGTTCACTTCAGCCCGATGTGATGGGGCGAGCAGCAGCCCCGCTGCTACTCGCTCAACCGGAGCGTGCACGTTTCTTGAGCTAACCGATACAAAGAACCCGGTTTGGGCCGCTGACACTTTCGAGCATGCTTTTTCTTCCGAAAGCGATAGTTTGCGGCCAACAACCGGAATACATGAGCAGAGTAAATATACATCATACACTCAGAGTACCATGCTCAGCTGTGGGAAAATCCGCTCGTAATAAGCAATTACTTGTTCAGGTATCCCCGATCATTGGCGGAAGTAGCGGTATACACACTCACAAGCCAAGTCGATGGACTGTCTTCAGGATGCTCGTTTCTAAACTCTGTCGTGTGCATACTCGGAACCGGCAGATCGAGTGAACAAGTGGGAGAAGGAACGCAAAAAGTCAGCGTGAAAGTTAGCGTCATACAGGTCCCTATGCGTCTGGAAGAAAATAAGTTGGATGGATGAAAAGAGAAAAGGCCCATGCGACCTGTGAGGAGCCTCCAATGACTGAAAGTCCAAAGTGGAGCCCTGGGGTCATCGTTTTCTGAGGGCACACATCGGTCTTTTAGGCCTACCCTCCACGCCGCCTCCGAGGGCTCAAAATGGTCTCTGAGGGCATCACAACGGCTACGGGTAACTGAGCGCCACATCTGCATCAAACATCTGTATCTGTATCTGTTACCAACTGCTGATAACTGAGCGCCACATCCGTATCTGAGTGCTCAACGTTGGCATTCGAGGGACCTTACGCAGGCCCAATGATTACCATTACCGGTCTCTTAGTCATTAACTCATTAGTATATTCATCTGTATCTTCCAAGCCTTAGCCTCAACCTTTTTCTCGTCCTGGACCACAGTTAAATTGTTCCGAGCTAGCGGCAGGTAATCACAGGTTGTTTGAAATGGACAAGCGCTATTCGTTTGAATTGTGCTTTTTCTACTGAAAAAAACATCCGGAGCAGTGCCGCTTGGAGGTGTAACTAAGAAATCATCCCCATCAGGCGTGAACTTAGCTCCAGTGGGAACATAGGGAAACTGATAGAGAAGCTGGGTGGCCCGTCCCACCTCACGGGCGGGCTCAGCCGACTCGGTACAACAGCACGAGGTCGCAGAAGCTCAATGCTCCCTCCTTTTTCATCCCACGATATCCTTAAGTTGCAAATAGATCAAAAGACGGCACGATAAAATGAAAAGAGAACGCAACGATCATCATTTCCATTCAATCAATATAAATTAACAATAAGTATGAACAAACCGATCATGATTAACATTATTTACGGATAAAGGGTGAACCTTGGGTACCTTCTCAGTTCTCACTGATTAGTGTTCCATTAAGTCATGTAATTGAAAGTCTAAAGATTATTGAAAAACCAGCCAAAGAAGAATATTGGGATAAGGGAAGATAAAAATGAAATCAGCGCAAGGAAGAAAGAGTTGTTAAATTGTAGAGAAGTCGTGTTTTGCTGGAGTGCTTGAATGTCTCTTTTTCATGTAAAGCAAACAAACAAACGGCACGGAAGAAAGTAAAACGGATAGTAAGATAGGCCGCGCGCGGATGTCAGCTTCGCCATGATGATGCCAGCTTCGCCATGATAGGGGAGGACGTATTTGGCCACGCCCGGCTATCTCGGAAGTAAGAAAGCCAGAAAGACGCGGAGAGAAGCAACATATCTAGCTCGCTATAAGAGCTTTTAAAACTGCAAAGGTCATCTTTTCGATCAGCTCATCACGGGGTCACTGGAGATCACCAAAAGTAAAATTATCACGAATATTTCCCGTTTTTAACTTTTTTTCAAAGCATCGCATTTCTCGGGAACATGTACAGCAGTCGAGATAAAACACCGCAGAAAAACGCATTCGATGGCTCTTTCAAAGCTCCTTTTTAATAATGTTCTCAGGTTTGTCCTCGGGTCAACGCCCAACGATTTAGCCTCAAGAGGACAAAAAGTCTCAAGCATTGACGTTTTGGTGGAAAACGTTTTGCAGAAAACGTTGATCCCACTGAAACGACTTCAACTGGCTGCGTCTGCTCCCACCAACCGCAGACACAGCGGATGGACGTCATAAAAACAGTGTTTCGTAACAAAGCCGCCTCGGCTGAGCTGCCACCTGAGCTGAGCATTGCTCCCGGACGCTCGCTCGTGGTCTGTGGCTTCTACGCACAATGCAACGCCGTTAAGTGTGAACCACGTTCATACTTGGCAAGCGATAATAACCAGTGGGTATCAGTCGGCAAAATCAGTTGCGCCTGTTTCAAACAATCTCAAGTTATATCAAGCTGTAGCTGGGGCGTTCCACGACAAATCGACAAGTGCCCTGCACCCTCATATTTTATTTTTTGCTTAAAATTGGTGTAATGGGTTGTGATGGGCGGGGAAGCCAGCTGTGGCAAGGATTTTTTCTTCGAACAACGGTTTCCGAGATATAGCCTCGGGCAATTCCTGGAGGTCGCGCCGCAGCCCTATGTTTGGCGGCCTATAACTCAGAAACTATTGGTTTTATACGATAAAAACTTTTTGTGGTTTAACTTACAATCAACCAACAAACATTTTGGCAATCTCGGATTTTCAATTTTTGAAAAATTTTGATCACGTGACCTTTTTACCTTTTTTCAAAGAGTTACCTTGATATTTTCCCCACTGAAAGTTAAAATTTTGTATGATGACGATTCAAGCCTTATCAATTGTCATTCATATGCAATAATAAAAAAGTGGCTATCGCCCTGCGTTGACCTCAGGCCAGGTCATTTTTATGAACTGTCCATTATTACGGGCGGGAGCGACAGCGAGATCTGGAGAACAAAGCAAGATAGCGACAAGCGGTAAGCGGTACAGGGTACACACGGATAAGGTCTGCAATTTTTACTGAGGCCATTTTCAGGTCAGGTCAAAGATGACGTCACAGTGGTAAAAAAGAAGTTAAAATAGTTTTGGCTGTACCTTTTGATCTAATAAAGAAAGATAAGTGGAACAGGCACCATTGTGTTTGCTATGGCCTAGCGCCAGTTCGCTTTGAATTTCGATATCGATTACCTAAGGTCAGGTCAATTTCTTGACCATCCCATTAAAAGTTAATTGGGGAAAAATCGGCTCGCTTACTTTTAAACTAAAACACGTCGGAATCGCCTAATATATCATGAGTGACTTCATATAGGATCAACTTTGCCTACCTTGAGACCCTTTCTTGCTCTTGGGCAACTGTAAGGTCATGTGACGTCATTAAAGTCACCGAAGGTTTTTTGCTAATAACTCCTTACAGGTTTGAGATACAGATGTGCGGATGGACTCATTGTGCTCAGCTCGTCAAGGCGCATCGAATGATATATATGATGACCTAAGGTCAACTTTTGACCTTGACCTTTCGAGGTCAACATACATATGTTTCGATGCGGATCGACGAGAAGATCACGATGGTGCTATTAGTTTGTTCCTAGCTGGGATGCCTTGAAAGTTATTCGATAAAAACTTCACATATATGTAGTGCCGCTATTTTGACTTTGCCCCTGTGACGTCATCTTTGACCTGACCTGAAAATGACCTCAATAAAAATTGTAGACCTTATCCGTATGTACCCTGTACCGTTTACCGCTTGTCGCTATCTTGCTTTGTTCTCCAGATCTCGCTGTCGCTCCCGCTCGTAATAATGGACAGGTCATAAAAATGACCTGACCTGAGGTCAACGCAGGGCGATAACCACTTTTTTATTATCGCATATGAATGACAATTGATAAGGCTTTAATCTTCATCAGACAAAATTTTAACTTTCAGTTGGGACAATATCAAGGTCACTCTTTGAAAAATAGGTCAAAAGGTCACGTGATCAAAGATTTCAAAAATTGAAAATCCGAGATAGCCAAAATGTTTGTTGGTTGGTTGTGAGTTGAACCATATAAAGTTCTGCCATAGAAAACCAATAGTTTCTGAGTTATAAGCCGCCAAATATAGGGTTGCAGCGTGACCTCCAGGAACTGCCCGAGGCTATATCTCGGAAACCGTTGTTCGAAGAAAAAAAATCCTTGCCACAGCTGGCTTTCCCGCCCATTACAGCCCCTTACACCAGATTTCAACGAAGAATAAAATATGTGGGTGCAAAGTTAATTTTTTATTTGTCGATTTGTCGTGGAACGCCCCAGCTATACCTAAGCGAGCTACGTGTAGATAGCTAGGCGGCTATTAATATCAGCATTATTATTTTTGCTTATCCCGCAACTCAGTAGAAAATTGGACCATCGCTGATAGAGCTCTGATTCATTCACGACGGCGCTCAACTTTTTGAAACCTTCGGAGACGTTTTGTGATTCGTGGGAGTAGCCACAGCCAGTTGAAGGAAATATGCATTTATGCTACCTATTTGTCATTATTCCATTGGTGATGGGGATGGCTACCTTGGGAAGCTAAAACATTGTTTGACTGTACAAAGCTTAGAATAGTACCTAAGAAATCAGTCTTATAAGCACAGTACATAAAGCCTAAGCAACAAAACACTCATGAAATACGATATTGTAATAATTTACAATGACAATATACGTCATCGGTAATAAATTAAGGCGTAAGTAGGTATAAGCCGATAAATCACAACATTCATTTTTTTCACAATCAATGCATCGCATAAATGTCATTGACGACTCTCAGGTCAACGCCGTAATTGTTTGTCTTGACTTTCATCTAATCCTCCACGAGTGGAATGGATTTTATGCGTCTTATACAGTCGAATGGTAAACAGTTTTCGTCAATCGGCTTATCCCTTGCCGGCACCGGCCATATTGCATTCTGCTTTCGGCGGAGACACATGGGGAAGGGAGTGACCTTCCTATGCGTGTTGTGCTGTCCCTCATTGAACTATAACTCCGCAAAAAAATGACCTTCACAACTGGTTCCAAACTTTAGGGTCTTATGTCAACTGGTGACCTAAAAGGTCACGTAATTGATGGAAGTATTGGATCTCGATTTTCGGCAACAAATGCAGATAAGAAACGATCAGAGAGTAAAAATATTGACGGAACACGCACGCATGTATTTTGCGTCCAACTACGTCATTTCTTGTTGCTAGGTCAATGTCAATGGCTTACTCATGATTCATGTGGGCCTTGGACGACCTTGACGTATGTATGTAAATTGTAATGCATTCTTTGGTGCTGATCTACCTTCATAGAACGTGGCAACTATTTTGCCTATATAGCCCCTTGCTCTTATTGGCCTTTTTACATGGCATCTAACATAGGTCTTCCGTAGGACCCATAACCCAGTCGTTTGATCCCTGATCAAGCTAGAGCTTTGTGAAAAAAAACGAACGTGTTGCCGTGAGGAGAGGAAGCCGACGATACCCGATTTGAACGTCCTAGGTCATTGGTTCAACTTCACCTCTCATATCAGGACAATGACCCAAGGGTCGGGAAAATTGAAACCTACTCGAACTTGGCAAAGAGAGATTGTAGCGGTTTTTCGGGGTAGTAATCACGAATTAGTTTTGCTCAAAGATTATGTCTTCATACAATTGTAGTAGATCCCATCGGATCAGGTCAGGTCAACCAGTAGGCGTCCTGCCGGCTATCCATAGTAGGTGTCAATCACCACTAGCAGTTCCGCAACATGCTACATAGGTACCGGAACTAGTTCTCAAATGTTCAAATGGGTAGTAGATTCGAAATGAGCTCCAGAAACTACGCTAACTTGAAACATGTAAAACTTGAAAAAGAACCGAAGTCACCTAAAGTCAATGACCTTGACCTAACCTTCAGGTGACCTTGAAACTCACCATAATGCATGAGGCAAACATCATGTCACATGTCGGTACGTTTCCAACAACAAAAAGATTGGAAACTCACGGATATTGTGCGCTGACATACGCCGAAACGTACTAAAAGTTCCATCACGATCGGCTGCTTTTGCGCGAGTTATTTGCGAAAATCTGAGCCTCCACCCCCCCCCCCCCATAAGTTCGAGGGTTAAATCAAATAATTTGGCGTCGGACAGCTGTTTCGGTTAAGTGTCGTCAGGTCATCTCGGAGCCGTTTTGTATTCTCGGTGATAGCCTGCCAATTATAACGCATGAACGATCCCACATTCCAGACGTGAGACGAGTATTCACGTTCCACCTGTTTTCCATTGTTCCATAGCTCGCCGTTCGTTGACCTCCGAGTCCGGAGCTCAAGCCAGCTCAGTGAAGTCACGGCACACTTGTTTACAGCACATCAAAGTCACAGCACGCTCACGAACAACTCAATTAACTCACGGCACACTCACACCCAGCTCACCGAACAGCCCGGGTCCTCAGAGACAGGTATGGGTCCTCAGAGGTTCGCATAAGCCCCAATGATGCCGGTTTTGCTTGCCAGAGACATACACTCATAAGGGCCCTCAGCATGGGGGCCCACAGGAGCCTGCGTAGGCTAAAAAGGCGGTAAGGGACCCCAGAGGCCAGAAGCCAGCGTTGACCCACATGGGGCCGAAGTGAGCACTCAGGCTCAGGTGCCAGTGTGGGACCGTCAAAGAATTATGTAGGATATAGCCGGCATCCACAGAGCCAGCATTGACCTTAGGAACTTGGCGTATTGCTCTTAAAAGCCAAGCTGAGCCAATCATAGGCCGATATGGTTTGTGAAAGATCTATATCAGGGGGCGGGGCCATCGGTATGAGGCCTACGCTCAGAGGCCGGTGTGGCTCTGGACCCTCAGAGGCGAGAATGAGCTCTCAGCGGTTGGTGTGAACTGTGAGGTCTACAATGCTTATGCTATGTCAATTGCCAACAGAGATCAGCGTGGACGCCTCAAAAGCTCGGTTGGGGTCGTCGGAGATCGGCGCACGAACCCGATGCGGAGCACTTAATCCAAGATGGGGGATCCTCACAAGTGATACGCACAAGTCAACCAAGGCCTCGCTTAGTACGCAAGCATATGGGGAACGCGACACCACATCATACGCTCCACTTCCAGGGTCCGTTTTTGCACTTACTAGGCCTTCGGCAAAAGGACGTTTATTTGTACAGAAAAGACTGCAAAGGCCATCGTTTGTTTAGTATCTCAAGCTCGCTCGTAATAAAAGTAATTAAATAATTGTTTAACTAATGTCGATGGTCAGGTCAGGTCACTAGAGGTCTCCGATTGCCTTATACTATGCTCAATTATTCCCAGAGCCATAAAATATGCAACTAAAGACGCCATAGCACCACTTCCAGACACAGGTAGTCTAAGAAGTGCCTAGAAACAAGTGAGGACCCCATTATAGCCCTATCGCAAGGGACAGACAAATTTGACCTCAGGCTCAGGTCAACGGGGACGGGCTCAGGGGCTAAGGATGTCTGACATGAAAATATTGAGCGCATCTAAGCAAAATTGTACCAACTCTACCTGTGCCTGCTGAATATCACCAATGACCCAAAATGCGACAAAAATACATAATTGTATAAGCTTAGCGGAAGACAGTTCGCCCTCTTCCCTATCCCAGTGAAAGCTCCTTAGACAAGTCCCTGTCCATGGCGTCGGCGACCTTCCAAAGTTAAGCCAAATTTTAAAATGTTTCTATTTTCGGACGTGACCCGAGGGTTTCCGCCATAATTTATAGGTTTTATTGGTGAGCTTATCGACGATACCTACATACTGCAGATTTGTCAGCTCAAGTAGAGCTCATGTAGACAATATTTTTGACCGTTTCTGAATATATTTTAAAAGGCACATTCAATCATAAAACCCCTTTGGCTAGAGGTATATTGGGGATGAGTTGATGTCGGGCGACAGTCAGGCAATCCCGTATCAATAGTATCATCCATTTAAGTCTGACCACATCACTCTCCTATGAACCCCACTGCCCTGTCAGGCCTATGTCCCAGTCACCCGTGCCGCTCCCTGTCGCCCGATCGGGTGACCTTGTGACCCAGTTATGGGCGGTCCAGCTACATTCCTGGCTCGCCCCTCTACCGCTGCCTCCGCCCTATCCTACCCTGTGACCTGTCCCTTATACAGCAAAGCCTACTGCACTATCGCTGGACCATCAGGGCTCAAACCCTGCCAGTTCTCGGTCCTGATACAGCCGCGCTGGCTCGGCACTGGGGACGGGGTTCGGTAGGCGGCCGGTCCGCCCACCGCCCAGCGAAGTGACCTTGGTGATAGCGGTGGAGCACAGTCGGACAGGGCAGAGCGGAGCGGTGCCTAATGCGGGCCCAAGCCAGCAGGATAGGAACTACAGCTGACAACGAATAATGACCTGACCTGACAGGGGGAGCCTAAGGACATTCGAGTCCTAAGATACTTCTCATTGCCCATTCTCTCGGACTATAAATCAGGCGACTGTTGATTGCTAGTTTGCGTTGTTTGGCTGTCAGGAGATAGATACTTCACAGATTGCTCATTTACCTATGTGCTCTTTAGTACTTATTCATCTTTTCACTTACGTTTTCATATTTGCCTGACAGGGAACTCCTTGTGCAAACACTTTTGTTTTAGATGACGCAGTGACCGGCGCGCAAGACAAATTCCCCCTGCCCTTTTTGCTTTACTCGCAGGCGCCAGATGTATCAGGGCTTCTCTATTTATGCAGTGAAGCATTAGCCGTCAATGAGATGTCGGCCTAGTAGCCAGTCCAGACTACCGACGTGTCAGTCTTTTCGTCTGTCGGTCTCAGTCGGTCGGTCCGCTCGGCACATCAGCCTGTCAGGCTGACAGCCAGTCCTGTTGAGTCAGTAATGAGCCATGCCGGGGCCGGTCGGCGGCGGGGCTGGCTGATGAGATGCAGCGCGCTCGACCGGCCCCTGCGCTGCAGGCCGATCACGGCCACTCCGCCGCCGTCGGCCGGCTGACCAGCCCGGCGCAGCGCTGGCCTTGGCTGCGCCATTCACGTGGGCAGTAAGTAACGGTTACCGATGCGGCACGGGTCCGGGGGCGGCACGGATGGGGGGCGGGTGACGTCACTCTCACCTGCTGGCCGGCTGGCCGGTCGTCGACGGTCCGCCGGCTGCTCCGCCGGCTCCCGGGAGCGCACCCAGGCCGGTGATGATGCGGAGCGCGCCTGTGGAGAGGCTGGAGGTGAGCGGACCTCGGTCCGCCACCGGGGAGCCGCTGCAGGAGCCGCCGCTGCCGGCGGGGCGGCCGACAATCGCCGGTACCACGGCCTGTGGCTGCCCTCGCTGTCCGATCCATCGACCGACTGACGTGTTGGAGGTGACGTCTCCCTCTCCGGGGAGGCTGCAGTGGCCGGCGGCGCGCGCACGGTAGCTGCCACCCGCGCACGGCGCAGCTCCGGCGGCGGTGAGCTCGTGGAGGCCAGGCTCGGTGAGCGTGACCATCGCACCTCTCCGTGCTGCGCCACGCGCCACGGCAGGCCGCCGCCGCTCGGTGCCGAGCCCTCCGATCCATTGGTGGGCCGGCCTCGCCAGCTGTCCACACTGGAGGAGCGCGAGCGGCGGCCGCCAGAGTTGCCGGCGGCGGGGGCGGCGCCGCCGCTCGGCTCTGCCACTGACTCCTCGTCGTCGAAGATCTCCTCTATGACGAGCCCCGAGTGGTTGGAGCTGACCTCGTCATCAGCACCGACCTCGGTGATCACCAGACCAGGGCTCGTCTCGCGCTCGATCCGGATCGCGTGGATCGTTTCCACCACTGGCTTGCTGGGCACGCCCTGCTCGGGCGGAGGTCGTGATCGCGACCCCCGCGAGCCGAACGCACTGCCGAACCCTCTGTCAAACGCACTGCCGAAACCACTGCCCAGCCCGCTGCCGAAACGGTCACCGAATCGATCGCCGAAGCGACTGCCCAGGTCACGGTCACCACCAAACGCGCCAAAGCCACTGAATCCGCCGAAACTACTGCGCAGTCGGTCCTGCAGAAGGTCGATTTCGCTGCGGATCTCGCGTTTCTTCTGCTCGAGGTCCTCCCAATTGACGTTGTTGCGTCGTCGACGCTGTTCGGCGGCGTGCACCCACTCGGGACGGTCGTCCTCCATGTTCAACAGGTTCGGAGCACTCGTCTTTTTCAGGATACTCTTCAGCGGTCGTGTATCTCCCAGCTCGTGCTCGTCCTCGGGTCTGTGGTGGGCGGGATGGGGCGGGTACGATGTCACACCCGGCCGCGGTGGTCGCTCGTCACTCACACCCTCTCTCGTCGTCTCCGCGGCGGCGCTATCGTTGTGCACGCGCGCAGGTGCGCCGCCTCCGCCCCCGTTCAGGCAGATGGTGACCGAGGTGCTGTGCCGGTCGACCGGCCGCGGCGCGCCGTTCAGGTAGACTCCGGTGCGGCCAGCGCGCGACCCCGGCCTGACGTCAGTCGCGGACGGCCGCCGTATTTGGCCCGGCTCTGGCGCGCCCGCCGCCGCAGCCGCCGCCGGCCGGCCGGCCACCACCACACGGACGTTCACTGTGTGCGGAGCGGCCGGCCCCGGCTCGCTCTCCTTATTCTCGCTGGAGGACAGAGGTGGGGTTGAGATCAGGCGCTTTTCAGCGGACGGCGGAGTGGGCGGCGGCCGCGGCGCCGTGGACGGACGGTCCGGCATGTCGGCAGGAGATCGGGACCGGGCGGCCGAGCGGTGGTCGTCGCCACCTCGCGTCGACGATAGGAAGCTCATACTGGGGGGCAGGCTGGCCGGACCATGTCGGGCCGACTCGCCGGCTCCATTACAGTGCTGCCACACAGCGGCGCGGTGTCCGTCGCCAGCGGAGGACAGCTCGCCGCCGTCGGCCGGCCGCCGGCCCGCCCACGGCGAGTGCTCGCCCGAGCCGCGGCGGCGTGCGCGCAGCTCCTTGAGCCATGGCGGCTCGGTCTCACCGGCCGGCGGCGGCGTGCGCTCGCGCGGCCGCGCCTCACGCAAACTGCGCCGGGCGGCCGCTAGCCTCCTCCAGGCCGGCTCGTCCCGTCCCTCGACTAACGCACTAACTGCGCGGCTGGGCGCCGTCTCGCCGAAAGTGATGACAGTTTTACGGCGCAGCACGTCGCCATCCGTGACCGATTGCTGTTCCGACACGGAGAGAATATCCGTCACACTGGCCGTGTCGTCGTCGGCGTCGGTGGCCGGCGCGGGCCGCGGGCGGTCGCCGGGCAGGGAGCTCGGTCTCGGGGAGGACGGGGACGGCAGAGGCCAGCCGGAGCTGCTGTGAGCCGGCAGCGGCGGCCGGCGGCTCACCAGCAGCGGCCGCATCCGCTCCTGGTAGGCGGACCGGGCGGCGGACAGGTCGGAGCGGCGCCACGCGCCGTCCAACAGACCGGGCGAGCACGCCAGCGTGTCGGCTGCAGGCGCCGTGCTGGCGCACAAAACCGGCCACGAGCGGCAGTGGCGCAGTTGGCGAGGCGCTCTGACACCTGGCAGTGCGCACGGCCGGCGCGGTGGGGGCAGACTGCGGCTGCGGCGCGCCGGCCGCCGCCCCACACGGCTGACCGCTCGATTGACGTCACCCGTCCCACTGACGTGGCCGTGGCCGGCCCAGTGGGTGACGCCAGTCAATGAGGGCGGCGGCTGGACGACCGGTGCGGAGGCGCGGTTTTCCCTGTTGGACTGCCCGTGCCGGCTGTTAGAGATACAGGCAGTCACATGCCGACCCGCACCGTCACTGCACCGAACGGTAGAGTCGCTGGTCGTCCGGTCTCGGTCCTGGCGACTGACGACGGCAGGTGACCGCTTTGCCGACCCGTCGACTACCGATGTAATCCGCGGCGCCCAGACGTCACTCTCTGTCGAATCCGAACCGGATCCGGACCGGACTCCCGAGTCACTACTGTCGGTTGACGGAGGGGTCCGCCGCAGCTCGGACTGTGTGGCGCCCTCGACACGCTCTCTGCCCACTCCGACGCTCGACTGCGGACGCCGGGGAGAGGCGGCACGCGGCACAGCCGGCACACTCTCACTGGAACTCGGCTCAGCGGCGTCGGCCGACTCTCCGTTCGTTCTCACTTTAACCGGCGTCCGTTCACACTCTCGTCCAACTCCGGACGGTGCGTCACTCGACTGGCTAGCGCTGCAAGTCTCCTCACACTGCACACCTCGAGTGGAGTGCTCCACAGGCTCTGTGGGCTTGTCTTCTCCCGCCTCGCTCCGCCTTCTGTCCGCCGGCGGCGAGTGCAGGCGCGCGGGCGGCGCTGAGTCACAACTCTCCGAGCTGAGTTGAGTTGAGTTGAGCTTGGGAGCCGGTGCAGCTGGATCCAACACTGTCACTGTCACATGTGAATGTCCCTCCAGAGAGATGAGACGAATCACGGAGCCGCGGGCGCGCGGTTTGCGCGAGCGACTCGGTTTGCTCGGCGCGGCCGCTGAGAGGGCCTCGGCCTGCTGCGACAGGCCGGCGGCGGCGACCACGGCGGCGGCCACCGACGCGTCGATGCCGGTCCCGCTGGAGACGGATCCCCGTCGGAGTCGATCCTGAGCGCCGACGCTGAGCCGACGGGCGCGGTTCCTTCTGGGCGGCGGCACGGGGGCGGGGGCGGGGGCGGGGGCGGACTGGCCGCGAGTGGGCCTGTCGGGCGTCTGACCGCCTCCGCGGCGGCGCCGCTGTCCGCCGGCCGGCCCGGCCGCGGCCGGCGCCGCCCAGAGGCGTGACCATTGGCCCGGCGTGACGTCACACCCATCAGCGGCCGTCGCTGATTGGCGCGTCAGTCTCTGACGTCGTCGCTGCAACAGAGAGGGAGCGGTGAGACGGCAGTCAGGTGCGGAAACCGCCCCAGGCAAACATTAATTAGTGATGGTCTTCAAAGACAGCTCCGACTGACATGCAGCTCGCACTGACATCCGCACGCAGGACTCACTGACACTGACACGCAACTGACATTGACACTGACACGCAAGATACCCTCACACTCGCAAGCAACAGACACTGGTCTGACCACCCACACTGAGCCTTTCCCTCACGGACTGCTGAGCAAGCACATCACCGATCCAATGCTTAATCAGAGTTCTAATCTCTAGTATCGTCGTGAGAAAATGCGATTCATATGGCGTCTTGTAGCAATCATGTTTGAAGAGTTACGCACTCGGAGCAGAAAATGCATTAGGATTAGTGTCGAGATAGCGTCTGTAGTCTGAACAGGGTTGATTGGGCGTGAGGGAGATCTGAATAGAAGGAGGTGGCTCGCTGGCAGCGCTTGATATTTCCAGAGCCGACTCAGGGGCCAGCGGAAAGAGGGTTAGAAGAGTTAGAGCTGGATGGTGACTGTGAGTCTTCCACTTCCATCCCACTACTCAGGATAGAGCCAGGTGAAGAGAGAGAGAGAGAGAGAGAGAGAGAGAGAGAGAGAGAGAGAGAGAGAGAGAGAGAGGGAGGGAGGGAGGGAGGGAGGGAGGGAGGGAGGGAGGGAGGGAGGGAGAGACGGGGAATGTGTTAGTTACGACCCGGCCGGGCCGCGCCTGATCGTCCGGTCCGCGCCTTGACCTCAATCGGACCGCGTGGACCGGTCAGCAAATCATGGAGCGCCCATTCCCTGCAGCCGCGCTCTTAACGTCCTCCCTCCCTTCCCTTCACTCCTCACTCTCGCCCATACTCATCCCCTCGCCCTTCTTTTATTACAAACTCTCGTTCCCTCTCGATTCCTTGTTTTTTAACTTCCTCTCTAAAGCTAGCCTGACGCCTGTCTCCCAAGTGCGTCTTTCTAGCGCGTAGCTTTCTCGCGTATGGCTCCCCTTTCTCTCTGCATCTCATTCCCCATCCCAGCCGTATGAAGATATTGACTATGCTATTACAAAGTGTCTCTCTAAATCATTACATGCACAGTGCACAGCATCCCAGATGGAATAATAAAGCATCTTCTAAATAAATGAGCCTCTGAAGCCAATCCAATCTTTCCTTCCTTCTCCCCCCACCATTTTTCTATCACACATCTGCATCATTCACTCCCATCACACACTGATGACTGCAACTGACATACCATGGTGTCGGAAGTGACCCCCTCTCCGGCAGCCTGTCGGCAGCACTCCCACTGAACTTGTCAGTGGGAGTGCCACTGAACTTGTCAGTGGGAGTGACAGCTCGTGAACGATGGGCCCGCGCTATCCCTAAACCATCGGACAGGGCTGTATGCATCGCAGCGCGCACCGGCGTGCATCGTAATGCCCCGCGGTCGGCAGCGGAGACTGCGACGCTAGGTATGACGGTAGCCCGGCGACTGGAGACTGCGGTGGCGCATAGGTAACTAACACCGCCACTGTGGTTGGAACCGAGATGCCGTGCGCTCGTTGTGGAGCCCCTGCCCGAAGAGAGGAGGGGAAAGAAGGGATAGGGGAGGGAGGCAAGGGCGCTCAGAGGATACCGATGAGAGCTGCCTGTGGGCTCACGCAAGCCGCTATCGGATGGATGACTCAGAAAAGCCGCCGACAGTGTCTGCGCCGAAGTTTGGATGCTTCAACACGCGAGACTACGGACAGATAGGCACACCTGTTCTGACTGATTCATGTTACGGAGCCGGCGCAGGAGACTAGCTCTCCTGCTCTCCATTTGCATATCCTATTCACGCAGTCAACCAGTGTAACCTTCTCAAGGATAAGCTACAAATGTCCGCTCCTCACGCGATATCAGCTCCACTGAGCGTGGGATCCCAACCACCAAATCCCACTTCCTACTCTCTAAAGCCAGCTAACACATAGCAGCAGTAGCCCAGCCCACAGGAACTAGTCGAGTAGTGTGTAAACGCCCATTAACGCACCTTTTCCCAGACCGCAGCGGCAAATTTGCGGTGCAAACTCGACTAGACCGATGACCGCTTGGCATACGTCGGACTGTGGGTTTCAGACGCCGGTCGAGCGACCTTGGTGGCGGGAGACTCTCGCCCGGCGTGGAGTGAGGAGTGACTCGCCGAGCGAGGGTCGGCCATGGTGTCGCCCGCGGCTGGACGGCCACAGAGGTCAGGGGAACTTTCTCAGGAGCTGGCCGGAACGAGGCATTCCAGGACCGGCGCCCACGGGCAGTCAGAAGTCCGGGGAGGACACTGGAACTGGATGCCGTGGGAGGGTGACGTGGTGCTGCAGGGGCGAGGAGATTTGAGAGGGACAAGGAAAGGGAACAGAACGCGGGGGAGTGACAGGAGAGTCGGGGAAAATAAAATGGCAAATGAGCGAGTGATGTTAAGGAGAGGCGAAAGAGATACCGAAAGACAAAAAGAGGGAGGATAGAAGTGTGTGAGAGAGAGAGAGAGAGAGAGAGAGAGAGAGAGAGAGAGAGAGAGAGAGAGAGAGAGAGAGAGAGAGAGAGAGAGAGAGAGAGAGAGAGAGAGAGAGATCGGGCTAGCGATGCGCGTTGCCGACACCTGCAGTCGCGCCGCGTGGCGCCGCCCCCGCCCGTCACTCTGAGCAGCACACCGCCCGCCGCCTCCTCCCTTGTTTACAGTCACCCGGCCGGCTGTCCGGCTCTGTTGGAGCGCAGGTCAGAGGTGGGTGACCGCACCGGACCGTCATTATCGGCTCAGAGCAGTGGCAGAGCGGCTCTGACCAGTTCTCACGGTTTGCAGCGGGGGTCACTGCTACTGGGGCCATGGTGTGACAAAGGTGGTCACTGATCTGCTAGGACGTTATGGAAAGGGACTGGGTGGAGTTCGAATCTGGCGAACTTGGGCGCAGCGGGCGCGGGTGCAGGGTGGAGACGAGAGGGAGAGGAAGAAATGGATGGAGAGAGAAAGAGAGCAGGTAGAGTGGCGGGAAGAGGGAGGAGAAGATAACGCAGCAAAATGTGCTGTTGGGCAAAGAAGATCGGGTGCACTTAAAATGGAAAATCCCACTGCTCGGTAAGCTACAAGTCTGAGCTATAAGACGACCCTCGAAATCAACGAACTCCGAGGGACGACTTCATTAGCGGTAATGACGGCCTAGCAATGCCGTCGAACCAAAAGTAAGACACAGCCATCGGTTTTTACCGGGCTGCCGCCGGCCGAAGACAGCATGTCCGGTCTGGCCGCTGTGTCCGTAGGAGCGTCATCGTTCGGCTCTGTGCGGCAGGTATTATTAGCGCCGGGTGGAGCGGCACACTGTGGGCCATACCGCGAACACTGCGTCTGGGCGGGGGCGGCAGCGGCATCGGCGGGGGCGGCAGCGGCATCGGCGGGGGCGGCGGCGGCTGTCGTCCCGCGCCGCGTGCGTTCCGGGAGAGAGAGAGAGAGCGAGGGAGGAGGGAGAGGCGAGAGGGAAAGCAACAGAGCGGCGAGAGTGAGAGCCGCTCGATTGTCTAGTTGTCCAACACCTGCTGTTTGGAGTGCTGAGAGACGGGAGCCGTCGACACTCTGAGAGGGATAGTTTTGTTCATGAGCTACCTGATCGCCTCCCTGATGTAGAGCTGCTGTAGTTTCTTCCTAATTTCAATGCACCTGTTCTTTTTTAACCACCTGTCCCTTATTTTGCTGCTTTTTCAGTACCTATAGAAGGTACTGAAAACCTGTACGCCTTGTGAAAACTTCTACATTATCTTTTGTACGCTTTCTGCACCTGTCTGCTAAACCAATCGGCAATCACTGGCATATATCTTTCTCCCCTCTCGCCTCCTGCTCTCCTTCTCCCACTGTCGGCATCTCCTTTGCCTGATGAACCATTTCCTAGCTGGCGCGTAAGCACTAAGCAGTTACAATTGCCTGCCCAATTGGTGGCACACCTTTTCTACATAGCTCTCCACCTGCATGTCTTGCCAATTTCATGCATCTCCTTGCACTTCTCTAGCACTCTAGCACCCTTACGTACCACCCACTCGCTTCTCTCCCCTGTCTCTCTGCGCTGCCCACATGTCGTGACGGACAGCCGCGGCTGCAGCTCACTAAGAGGAACATCCGTCAGCGCACGAACATTAGTGTCAGGCCGGCCGGCGCCGCCGCATGTATTAGCGCATTAAAGCGAGACCGAAACACGGCCCAAGCACGTCTGGCGACACTCTGAGAAACTCGAGCTGCGTGTAGGCTGAGCGTGCCGCATGTATAATTTTACAGACTGTCCGTCTCGGTAAATTAAGATGGGTATCAGTGAGGTACTATCAGAGCCTGAGCTTCTTCTGCCGATTGACAGACTTGTATTGAACGTAAAAATGCACTAGCCGCTATACGTAATTAAATACTTGCATCGGCGAAAGCTCTTGGTGACCTATCAGGTATCTGGGTTTTGGTCGAATATCGATATAACCCAATCGGAGGAGTATAAATAGAACCTGATGGACGGCTAACGGCTGTCAGAGCAAGTCTAAAACATGCCTAAATCACACCGGGTATCTGGATCAGAGTCGGGAAATTAGAGGAATGACGAAAGACACAATTGAGTATTGACGGTCTGATTACTCATTGATGAGGTGCGATAGAAGCCAAATTCACATCACGGGCAGCTGAATCACAATTCCTCATGAAGTCAATCCAATGCCTGTTATTGATTCTTTCCGCATCTGGGCATTTCTTCGACCTTCCGTGACCCCTCTTTGAACCAGCATCGCTCGGTCATCTGTAGCCTGTCACCACCATGGCCCTCTCCCTGAGGGCCATGGTGGGTGTGTCGGTACGCCACACCAGCTGACCGAGCTGTACCCACCAAATATGGAGTCTGACTAATAACAGTCCCGACCGCTCCACCACGGCACTGGCTGGGACGGAGCGCCCCGACCCGACCTGGCGCGGACTGACCCCGGCCGGCACACATAGGCTGCAGGTCGGACGTGACTT